GAAGGAAGGAAGGAAGGAAGGAAGGAAGGAAGGAAGGAAGGAAGGAAGGAAGGAAAAGTGAAGAAAGGAAGGAAGGAAGGAGGGAGGAAGGAAGGAAGGAAGGAAGGAAGGAAGGAAGGAAGGAAGGGAAAATGAAGGAAGGAGGGAAGGGAGGGAAAAGGAAGGAAGGACGGAGGGAGGGAAGGAAGGAAGGAGGGAGGGAGGGAAGGATTAAAGACCTGCCTGGTGGTGAAAATCTAACACATTGTTGCTTTGCCATCAACAGGAGAAGAATATATCTATATTATCTATATATTTATATATCTATATATTTATATATCTACATCTATCAATAAGTATTAATGGACCCATGTTTGCCTCAGGATTCAAAACAAGGATCACCTCAGAGCATTTCATCCTCCACCGCAGATCTAAAAACGACCATCTGGGTGGAAGAGAGACTTTAAAAGCACCATGGAGAGAGAGAGAGAGAGAGATATGTCTAAGCTCACATTCAAGGCTTCCAGGCTACGCCAAAAGGTCTCCAGAAACAGAATGGCCTTCTAGAAAAATTAATAGACGATCAGGTCCTTGCGATGTCTCCAATGGAGCCTGCAGGTGTGTCTAAAACAACCTGGCTCCCGTGTACCTAATTGAAGCCCCCCCATCGATCTAGCTGCTTTGGGCATCTGACGAAATGAGAGGCAGTTCACCAAAGCTTTTTCATAAACCCTGGAGCAAGCAAAAAACCTTTCCACCTTCGCCAAGATGTCTCCTTTTAGTTTAGTTTACTTTATGGTCATTGCACCACGTACAGCAAAATTAAATACCATCTTCGGTGCACATTATGACTATACAAAATAAAACACAAACACACTTCCTTCACATTCTATGCAACTGAATTGAAAACCCGATATTGCATTAACCTTGCACTATACTGTAGAATTCGAGTTACTGCCCTGGGATATAGAAGCTGTTTTTCAGCCTATCTGTCCTTGTTTTTAATTATCCTGTACCATCTGCAAGATGGTAATAGCTCAAAAAAAGGGTGCCCAGGATGAGATGGATCTTTTGAACTTTCTTAAGGCAGCGGGAGCTATAAAGCTCTTCCAAAGAGGGGAGAGGGCAACCCAGGATCTTTTGGGCAATGACATTAACCCTCTGGAGTGCTTTCCTATCTGCCCTGGTGCAATTGGCAAACCCTAAAGAGGTGCAGTAAGTTAAGATACTCTCTCCGGTGCAGCGGTAGAAGGTCAACAGCAGTTTTTCATTCCGTTGTTGTTTCCTGAGCAGTCTCAGGTCGTATAATCTCTGCTGGGCCCTTTGAACAAGGTCTCCTTCCTCCTCCACCGTGGTAATACTCACCGCTGGCTTGCTTGCATTGCTTCAAGGCTTCGTTGAAACCCTCACACAAGGTCAGGTCACTCTGGTTAGTAGCACAATCCAGGAACTGCCTCATCTCATAGAGGCAAGGCCCATACTGAGATGGCTGGTGGGTTGGTATCTGCCTGGACTCCTAAGAGGCAGTCAAGGAAGAGACAGTCAACCTCAGGTGGTTTGGTAATGCAGCTCGTCCTCAACGTACAACCATAACTGAGCCTGATGTTGCTAAGCGAGGATGGTTGAGGGAGTTTGGCCTCATTCTATGACCTTTCTTGCCACCGTTAAGGGAACAGCTTGGGACCAGGTGATCTGAGAGAATGTCTCTTGCCAGTCACGTCTACCCAACCCATCAGAGCAGGGAGGCAAGGAATGTTGTGGGTCCCATCCCCTGGTCCTTCATTTCATTAGACCAGTTGGTCAAAAGACCTGGTTGGTCTCCACTCCATCACTGCCTTAAGCTGGTTCTTCCACTGAACGAATTCAAGGTCCCCCAAAGACCTTTTCTCGAGACTCCCCCAGTTCCAGTCCAGCATCTCCACCACGAGAACTACCTCCCAACGTTCCCCTTCCTCCTATTCCCAATCTCCCAAAGCAAATCCGCCCACCACCGCCAACGCTACTCAATGGCTTCATGTTCCGTGAAGGTCGCCGCCAGACCAGACTCGGTTCCACGGGTGTTGTGGGGAACGGGGCTCGGCGTTCCTCCAATTTGTGCCTCACCTGGACAGGGCCGCTGGCCACTTTGGCGGGCTGGGAGGAGCTGCTGTCACCACTGAAGGCTCCCGTGAGGGCCCCACCGACCACGTGGCCCACGGCGGAGCCCACGGCCACCCCCGCTGCAGTAGTAGCCATCTGGGCCATCAAGCCAGGCTGTTGAGGCTGAGTCGGGGCGGCCATGGCGGAAGGAGGTGGATGAGCAGGAGCGTGGGAAGCTACTGCATTGCTGGGATGGAGAGAGGGAGGGAGGGAAGGAGAGGGAGGGAGGAAGGGAGTGGGAGGGAGAGAGGGAGAGGGAGAGAGAGAAAGGGAGGGAGGGAGACAGAGAGAGGGAGAGAGGGAGGGAGAGAGAGGGAGAAAAAGAGAGAGAGAGGAGGGAGAAAGTAAGTTTTGGTAGCCTTTATTTATTTGTATCTTGCTTTGGATTGTTTTGACAAGGCGCCAAATATATCTCACAGATGGCCCTCCCATTTTCCCCACAACAACCCTGTGAGGTGGGTTGGACTGAAAGAGAGAGACTGGCCCAAAGTCACCCAGCTGGCTTTCATAGATAAGGTGGAACTAGAATTCACCATCTCCCTGTTAACTGAACCAGAATCAGAATAGAGCTGGAAGGGACCTTGGAGGTCTTCTAGTCCAGCCCCCTGCTCAAGCAGGAGACCCTATACGGATTTATAAACTGTGTATTTTTATTTATTTATTTTTGTCAATTGCTTACAAGATAATAGGTATAAGTAAAAACATAGTTATGAATACATGGATACATATAATAAAAAATATATAAAAGAAACAATACGACAGGGACATTGGGCACGTTGGTGCGCTTATGCACGTCCCCTACAGACCTCTTAGGAAAGGGGTGAGGTCAATAGTAGACAGTCTAAGGTGAAAGTTTTTGGGGTTTGGGGAAGAAACCACAGAGGCAGGTAGAGTATTCCAGACATTGACCACTCTGTTGCTGAAGTCGTATTTCCTGCAATCAAGTTTGGTGCAGTTTACCTTGAGTTTGTCTCTATTGTGTGCACTTATATTGTTATGGCTGCAGCTTAAGTATTCATTTTCAGGTAGGACATTGCAATGTATGATTGTGTATACTATATTTAGATCGGACCGAAGGCGGAGTAGTTCTAGGTTTTCTAGGTCCAGAATTTCGAGTCTGGTGGCATAAGGTATTCTGCAACGAGTAGAGGAGTGGAGAACTCTTCTTGCGAAATATTTCTGGACTTTCTCCACTGTTTCTTTCTCAACTTTCTGAACTACTAAGACTTCACATGGTTTTGATTTGATGCCTCTCTTTATACAACCAGGGGTTGTATTAGCACTTTTGGCTGGTGCCAAAAGACTCCCAGGCCATCTTTGTGGCTGGGCAGGCAATAAAATCTCCGTCTCTTGGCCCAACCTCTTCCCCGATGTGACTTTGGGTTTGACCGCTTATATTTGGTTTCTCGCCTGACCTCTCCTCTCGATTCCCTTTTAGCTGAATCATCCAGAAGGCAGCAGGTCTGAACGAACAAATCTCCTTTTCTAACCGGTATTAACTCATAATCCACCAAGGTTTTTCCAAGCGTCTCAAAGGTAATTTTCCAAAAGGCCACTGGATTTTCTTGTTTTTTCTGTTTTTTTTTTTTTTGGTTTTTTTCCCCTCGCTGAAAACATTCAGCTTCTGTTCTATGGAATTGAAGACACTACTTGGGTGAGAAGAGGAATGTCTTCAAGGGGAAAGAAAAGAAAAAAGCAAAAAAGTGTTTTTGGAAAAAGCACCTTTTGGGACAAGCATGACCTGGAGAGGAATCGCCATAGACGTTCTTTTCCAAACCTTTTCACAAAATAAGTCCTACACAGCACAGCCATTAAAGGGTCTCCTTTAAGTGCCTTGATTTTTTAAGTGACAAAAATTCAGTGTTTTTTTTTTTAATCTTTCCATCCCAGACTTTGCAACCTCTCAGATCTTTGCCCCCCCCCCTCCATGCTAAGGCTTGGCCTTTTCTTCCCACAATGTGTGTGTGTCACACACACACACACACACACACACACACACACACACACACACACAC